GGAGGCGATTTCAACTTTGGTCTAAATAATAACATTGACAGGACGAATACGGCTGGAGCTCAGCGCAGTTGGCAATCCACAAACATAGTTAAACAATAAATGAGTGATTATGGATTTTGCGATGCATGGCGTGCTCTTCACCCTGACAACAAAGAATATACGTTCTTTTCACATGTTCATCACTCTTATTCTCACCTGGACTATTTTTTAGTCAGCAGTTCATTGCTGACCAATATTTTAGACAGTGAGATACACCCTATTGCTGTCAGTGATCATGCACCAGTCTCTTTAACATTAGTTAATAAGAAAGAAATAAAAACAAACATAAATAGGAGATTTAATACATCAATGCTCAATGATGAAAAGTTTTTAAAATATTTTAAAGAGGAATGGACATCATATCTAGAGTATAATGACTTAGCAGGAACATCAGCAGCTACTCTCTGGGAGGCAGGGAAAATATGAAAGGCAACCTAATATCATACTCAACAAATAAAAAGAAAAAAGAAATTGAACATATTCACGAACTAGATGAAGCCATTAAATTGTTAGGAACTTTGCAAGGCGAAGAAATAAAGCAAAGAATGCAGAAGGCAAAATTAGGGTTAAATGAATACATAGACAAAAACATTAATCCTTGATACAACGACTTCGATTAGAAAATTTTGAACATAGTAATAAATCAGGAAGTTTTTTTAGCTAACCAGCTTAAAATAAAGAAAAAAACAACTATATCTGGTATTAAAAACATAACTGGGAATATAGTTTATGATCTTTAGTAAAGAAACCAAAGAGAAACACACTGGACTATATGATGCAGCTCAKTTGGTGTTTTTAAGAAAACAAAAGGATTGTTTACAGGTGTTTTCACATCTGATTACAGAGTGCTGCTTCTTACAGCTACATTCACCATCATTAGCATCATRACAGTGAAAGATGAGCTGACAGTTGTTTTGGCTAAATGGTAAAAGGTAAATGGACTGAACTTATAAAGCGCTTTATCAAGTCCTTCCAGACCTCAAAGCGCTTTAAATTACAGACCTTCAGCCATTCACACTCTCATTCGCACACTGATGATGGAAAACGATTGAAGCCACAGCTGCCCTGGGGCACACTGACAGAGGTGGGGCTGCCATGCACCGGCACCACCATCATTAAACTGTAAGACAAGATGCAAAGAGGAGAAAAACTTACAATTGCCCCCTTAAATACCCTTTCTCATAACTGGAGTCTCCTGTGTATGGAGGTCAAGGG